AGGCAGAATACGGGCCTGAATCATCAAGTGTGCCAGTGAAAACACAGCAGAATTCTTAAGTGACCAACCCCAAAGAGAGGTAGAGGAGCAGCTAACCCATTCTGTAAAAACAAAGTTTAAGGATAGCTTCCCTCACAGGGCTGACGTACAAATCCAAAACGCTAGTGATCATGTAAATCCTTTTGTTGGTATGGGCACAGAAAGGCTTTTTTCCCTTAAAAAGTAAATCCTCCATTATCAACTCAACTTTGTCTGGAAATTCCAGCCACAGAAGTCATGCAGAAAGAAACTACTATTGAAGATGCAGCATTTGTCTTGGTGTTGCCACTACTATGGTAGCAGGTGGTCTTCTCATACTGTGCATCATCAGCACACCAAACAAAGTGCTACATAACTAAAAATTCAAACCGCTAAGGTAAATGAATATACTGCAGTAACTAAAGAAAAGGAATCAAAATTGATGAGCAAAGATGGTCATACTAAACTGCAGAAATCTGGTAGTGTTTGTTCTGTTGGAAATAGCAATGCAGAGTGAAAATGACTGGTAGAATCATTTAGTAAGACCAAATATACTTATTCACTGACATAAAAAAAATTTGGATGAACAAAGGGCGGATGAAAGAATATGGAAGAGTCAACACCTCCCTTCAGAGGAAGGCAGAGTTCTCAGTGCTCTGCAAATGTCTAAAATGGGACTTACTAACACCATCCAGGAGTTGTGGAATTAAGGTAAGTCCAGTGTTGCAGGAAGTCCACACAACACCAGCGTGTGAAACCATTAATGAAAGAGAGGCCAAGGAGAAGCTTGCCTTAACTGGTTGCTCCCACGGAAGTGCAAAACCCTGTGTTTCAAATGCTATGTTCAAACTGAGGACTGAAAAGCACTCTGTACATTTCTGTCCAGGTTCCCATTCTGTCCACACATCAGCTTTGTTTTCAGGATGAAATCTAAATGCATCTGTATACTCACTTCACCTGGTCCATCCATTTTTGTGCGCTTTGTACAATTTTTTTTTTCTCCCTGCAATAAGCTGCTAGAAATTAAGCTAGGAGTACAGCGTTTTATTTCTCAGTAACTATTTTCCATATTTGAAGCATGCATTAAAGAATCCAGACCAGTCACTTGACCAGAATATGCCACATAGCTCTTCTCTGGCCCCATACCTATGCCTCCTCTCTGCGGAAAGCTGGGGCCTTTTTTAAAAATACCTATTTTTGACAGAGGCTTCAGGCTTCTCAAAGAGAAAGTGCTGAAACCTTTCCTTATTCAGTGCAACACCACAATACAGGTGGCATATTTTTCCTAGAGGTATTCCACAAAGGTAGTATATGTTCAACTAGCATGTTTTGGAGCAGTCAAGAACACAGTTAGTGAAAAGAGATGGCTGATGAAAAAAGAAAGCCCTAAAAGGAAGAACTGGAAAACTCCAAAGAGAATTCAGAAGGCAGTGAGGGTCTCTTGAGCTGCAAATAGTCAGAGGCTGGAAGCATACCCTGAGGAAGTCTTATCTCCTTCTCACGTTCTTATAGTCTTTCTTCTTGGCCACTATCAGAGGCAGGATATGGGCTAGGGAGACCTTTGATATGATACAGCATAGCTGCTCTTACATTTTATGATCGAGGAGAAAAACAACAACAGTGGCAATAAAAAAAGCAGGAAAGAGACAGCAAGTAAGCTGCTCTGATTTGAGTCAGCAGTTGAGAGGACTTGAGGCTCATCAGTTACGACAAGGGACAGGTTCTTGTGCAAGGTCCTAGTCATAGAGCTTAGGCAAATATGTTCTGGTCTCCAGGACAAAATCATATATTCGCAAGGCATCAACACACGTGGACAAGCACTCAAAGGAGAAACCTCAGTAAAGAATAATTCCTTTCTAAAAAGAGAAAAGACCAACATTCTTGCGTTGTCTCTTCATTGCTCAAAGAAATAATACACTTTCAAAAAGAAATCTCTCTAAGTAATTATTTTTCTTCAAGTTGTGAACCGTAAGAAGTAGGCATTTACTACAGATAATCTGGCAAGACTAAACGCATGGGTAGATCATAGACTTGCGCATAATTCTACATTGTAACACAATTTAAACAAGGTTTAAAGAGGTACGTTACTTGGTTTTTATTTCTAGATAAGAAATACATTAAAAATTAGAAAATCTATTCCAAAATATTTTAATATATTAAAAATTAACAAGAGGCTCAAGACCTCAAAAGTCTTACCTGTTTAGAATAGTACTACAAGTCAACAGTTTAAAACATGAGGATTTTTGCTGAGAAAAATGAAAAAAAATTAAGATTCAACTGGTACAAACTCTTCCTTTTATATTTAACTCAAGGAGTATTTTATTTTATTTGTACTCTGAAAAGAGGAAAACTACGAGGAAAGAACAACTTTTTCCTTCTTTCCACTTGATTTCCAACCTCCTTTTGAGAGAAATTTGGTCACTTAGTCTGGGGATGACTGACTGGAGACACTAGTTGCACATATTCCTCCTCTTCCTGTTGTATTTCAAATAACACCTAAAAAGAGAATTTCTTTCTCAAGATTTCTGTGCTATCAAATAGGAAACCAGATGTCCTCCAAACAGGGTAAAAAGTAATCCTAGGAAGGTATAGCACCTTCTTCAAGGTCTAAAACGCACACAAGCAAGAAGCCTGTGTTTTACACAACAGACGGCACCCACAGAACAATGAAACAGACTCTTCAAAGAGAGGAGGGAAACAGGCACTAAAGCCTAAATATTTTGCGCTAGCAGTTGACTAACAAGAACTATTCCCACCAGCTGTTATATCCAGATTCATTAGTGCACTCAGAGCTAAACAGACATTCATCTGGCAGCAGTTCAAGGCTGGTGAGTACCTTGGAAACATCCTCCCAGCTCACGTGGATGTTAAATTCATAAAGAGAAAAAAAAAAAAAGAAAAAGAAAAAGAATCTCACAGTATCAAGTGAATGTTACAGAGGCTAAGGCTTGCACAGGCTTTATAAAGTACAGGTTAGCAGTTGAAAAGCACGTGTTTAAGAAGCATAGGCATCACTGATGGCACTCTTGTAGTCTCTGGGGAAAGGGGAGAGCTTTCTGTCATCATTACACAAGTCACTCATTATGTGGTTATTCATCTCATAGCCAAAGGAAAAGAGGATCACATTTGTTACATAGCTTTGTATGTTCTTGGTTTCAACAATTCCTACTCTAGAAATAATCACTCGTATTTTAGTGAGGCAACCTACATGTCTACAACCAATGAAAATCAAGAAAAACTTGGACAACCTACTACACAGCATCTGTCAGAGCGCTATGTACTTATACTCTGTTACTTACTTTAATACATTCCCACCATATACACATATAGGATACTGTAAGCCTCTTTCTCCCCTTCACTAATGCAATTTATATTCTATTCAGGATAGAATAAACTTCAGAACCTAGCCAAGGGTAAGGAACCCAAAAGGTACATCATATTTACACGGCTATGCTTTAGGTGTATCAGTCGTAGATATGTACTTCTAGAACATGAGCAACTTTCTAGGCACCTAATCTCATCTTCCAGGCACTCACATCACCAACTACTCGCACAGACATTTTGCACACTTGCCACAAACATTGCCTATGTGGGATACCTTCCTTTTTAACATAAAAGAAAGGATATTTCCAAATCCTTTATGTAAAGCTGAAATGTCAAAATTATTTGGAGGAAAACTACATCTTTATTAATAAAATAAAGGTGAAAGAGCAACCTTAAAAACATAAAATAAATATAAATAAAATATAAATATAAAATTCTGTAAATATAAAATTCTAAATAAAGTTTAGGTTACTTCTAACTGAAACATCTAGCAAATACAGTTGAATAATTGAGGGATCTTTTTGTAATCTCTTTACTCCTCATCCCACCTGATCTGTTGCTTCCTTAAAAAAAAATGGGTCTGAAGGTATTCTATTTGATTCCAGACAGGGGTGGGTGGGTGGGTGGGTATTAAAATAATTTACCAAACTTAACAAAACAATCACTCAGTGCGGACATGGAGCACATACATATTCACAGCTGCAAAGAACCGAAGAATATAGATTAAAGGATGGCAGCCTCAGAATATTATAAAAGAGTTTCTGTATCATTAAGCTCATTTCGTAAAGGAAAAATTAAAGTACTTCTGCTCAAGATCACCATAAAAGCTAGCTGCAAAATTAGAAAGCAGGTGTCCTGAGTCCTCATCCCATACAGAGCTCCTTATACACACATATATATTCATACAGAAGTACAGAGAGGAAAACAAGCATCATATATTTCACGGTGAAAAAATTAAAAGCATAAAAAATGGAAGATGAGAAATTATTGTGTCATCTTAGTTAAATAATTTTTTTTTTTAAAAAAGCTACCCCAAAATACACACGCAAATGTGCAATTCCTCACACACCCAGTAGAATGGTACTTACAAATGCCTGCAGTCATGTGCGCCACTCTCTACTAAGAGAGTTGAAAACAGACTTTTGTCCAGTTTGAAATAGGCCTAAGGAGTTATTGGTTTCTAGAGCAGGCAGCAACATGAAGAGTGAAATTCACAAAAATTAATATATTTGTACTTCTCTTCTGTCTGTAGGGAAGATCACTACTACAGTGGCAATGTTTCCTAAAGATAAGCATGCAGAAACCACAAAAGCAGATTTCCAACTCTCAGGTAACCCAGACTGTTAAAGGTGCATGTGCTTGACTTGATCCAGATCCCCCTTAGAGTGAGTCTTTTCACGGATACAACCAATTTTAGGACTGATCATCATCCCCTTTATACCAGGGAAGACATAGTGACTGCACCAATTAGCTTTAAAGAGTGGATTATGCCCAAGAGTAGAGATGAGCGAGTAAAGAAAAAGAATTCAGTAGAAGTTAGAACTACATACCTGAAAGGTCTGTACACAAAAATCCTAGTCAGTAAAGAATAGCATGTTAATCATTAAAATGAAATGACAAACTATAACCATCTCCATAAAACCCAGGAAACTTCATACTTCTCTTCCTGATGGTTGTCCTCTTGGTCACTGAGCTCATCATCATCTACCATATGCCCAAATGGTTCAGAAGAAATCGATACCATATTAGACAGTATAACTCTGCTATCACTGCTTCCTGTAAGGATCAGCTGATCATGAGAATGATTGTATCTGACATTCCAGACCCTAAAAGAGGAATTCAGAAAAAGGAGGAGGATATTCTTGGCAGGTAACACAGTAATGCTGTTTAAATGATTTAATTTTAAATAACAGAACTTGAATTCATCTTCAATTTAAATGTGGCAAGTATGCATAGAAACGACAAGCCTCATTCAAAAGACCGGCTTTTGCAGTCTTCATTTGGCTGTTAAGCTTTCATGTCATTTAATTTTCTATAGGGTATTTTTAAAATTCAACAATTAAGTTTTGAGGAAAAATCCTCAAAAAATAAAACCCATCATTCAGTGATATCATTTCTTGAGGGTACGTGTCACATTGTTTAATATGTCAGATTAATAGTCAAATTCTAAATATATGAATTTCCCCAAAGCAAAATATGGATTAGAAATAACCTGTTAAACAAAATCTCACAGCATTTTTAGAGTAAAAAGTTAAAATACACCCTAAAACAAAAGCAGGATTATATTTCTCCTCAATTTTTACATTTTACGTATCAAGTTAATACTAAATGTCTTTTTGTCCTTGTTTTACTATTAGTCTTTTAATTGTCTCCAAAAAGTACAAATGCTGCTTCTGTTAATTGACATCTTCATACCACTCAAAGCAGCTTCAGGGTCCAGATTTATTTTGCAAGAATTACTCTAATACAAACCTTATCAAATATGAAGTGCTCATCTTTTCTTAACCACAGAAGTCTGCAGATGTCAGACAAGATTGTCTCCAAGTTCCAGCCACAGGCCACAGGGCTATATAGAGGTTCTCAATGTTATCTCAGAGAGTAAAACAACTCACTTGCACATTTTGGCTTAAGGGATGCAAGGAGCATGAAGAAAGCCGGGGCTGCATTGTCGAGCATCCCCACCGCTCTACAACAGGAGGACAGAGGGCAGCTTCTGTAAATAAAACAGCTCAAGCACTTTTCTACTCAGGTCAGGTGCAGCAGATCAGCCTCGAGTTGGGAAAGCACAGATGTATCTTGGTCCCTACAAGGCAAGTTCTGTGCTGTGCTTCTTAAAGGCATATCCTATCTCCCAGCAATGTTAACAATAGTTTCTTGTCAACTAGATTAAGAGTGCCCATAGCCTTAATTTGGAATCGCACAAGAAACATCCACACATTAAAATCACTCCTCTGTGCAGAAAAATGATTATTCACAATGCATATAGCTAGCCTGCACTGTTCCTAAACAGTAAAATAATTAGCTGAATAAATTACATAAGCCATCCACCCACAAAACAGCATGCAGATAATTTGTTCTACCAGTGGGAATGCTCCTCCAGCGTCTTCACTGGTTCAGTGACGTTTCTTGTGTCCCAGAATTTCACCTTGCAGTCATCTCCACAGCTAGCCAGGTAGTACTGTTTATTGGGATTAAAGTCTAGGTCTCGTACCAGCTGTCCATGTGCATTTTCTATGCAATATATCTGTCTGTAAAACACATTAAAAAAATTAAATGGTCTATAAAAAGCTAACTACACTCAGCTGACAAGAATCTGTTTCCCTGGAAACTTGCATAATCCCCTTAGCACCAGCAGACCGAGAGTTCCCATTGCTAGCGTACAGTTCGGGGAAATCCCAGCTGTTAACAACAGCGACTTGTATAGATTTCTCAGCTTGCTTCTAAGCTTTGCTCTTGACTTGTTTGTATTGGAAACATTTGGAGCTAAAAGCAAACATTATATCCAGATGCTTCTAGCACAGCTCTCTATCAGTTGTTCTGAAACGTCCAATATTTTTAGATAACAGCGTCTCCAAACCTAAGTGAGCATGCCAGTTCCCTATTTATGACATCTAGCTATCCCTATACGAAAAGCTGAGATACAAGGGATACAAGGGAGATACAAGGGAGACAATAGATATGAACAACTTTCTATTATTGCTTTATTTTGAACCCATCTTCTTGAGCTCTGGCATTTATCATTAATTTACCCGTGGCCCTTAAACTACTCAGTCATGGTCATATTCAGCCATTTCGACCACTTCAGGAAATGTTTGCAGTACTAATCACACTCTGGCATCCGTATTCAAAACATGCATGTTCCATCAGTTTGTCTCACTAGCTTCCCCCTCTTAAGCTTGCTTCCTCTGTTTCTGCTATCACACCACTGATTCACTAGAGAAAAAAAATCTGTGATTAATAGACAGTCTCCTTCAGTTCTACTACCAGCTTTATTAAATATGGCTGTACTTGTTTCCATGATCATTTTCAAAACCAGTATCTACCAAAGCTCTGCCTTGATTTGACACTCTCCTACAAACTTCACTAGAACTCGTTAACACTCAGGGGGCCTTCTTCTACTATTATTGCTACTAATGAAAAATATTTTTCCTTCAGAAAATGTTGATTGGCTGAAACCAAAACTTTATGCTTCCTTGTTCATATATAAATTTGCTTGTCAAGAGCTGAGAGAAAAGTCCCATGATGTTAATATCTAATTACTATTACAAAGCAAAATAATTCCATAAGGAGACATTCAGAGTGTGCCAGTCCTAGACTAACCACTATACTGGCAACTACGGCTATTACCTGGGATAGAGATTGTCACCTGGATATCCATCTTCAAGACTCTTCTCTGAATCAGAGGGAGTAAGGATTTCACCCAGGTGTGCCTTTGTACTATCTATTCTGGAGTCTTTACATTTCCTTTTCATTTCTTGAAATGTCTTTATGGGAAAACTTTAAAACCTCAAGTGTGCTTGCAGCAGGAAAACATTTCTTCTCCAGTACCGAACCTTTCGCTTTGTTCTTTGTTGCGCAGCTCATGGGGACGCTTTTCAGGATCTAAAGGGAAATGCCATCCTCAGTCTCTCCAAATTCAACTGCGCTTACCATCAAAGCCTTTACTCTAACTTAAAGTGACTTATTCTGACCACTTGATCCCTTTCCTTCCCTGATATGAATATTCTCTTTTCTTCCACTCTATCATCTGACCACACAGCAATATTACCTATATTGAACTCCCACTTATAGCATATATTAAGGCCCGAGCACACACAAACCTTTTCTCCAGCTACTGCTCCACCTTCTCACAGAATCACAGAATCTTCCCTGATATGAATATTCTCTTTTCTTCCACTCTATCATCTGACCACACAGCAATATTACCTATATTGAACTCCCACTTATAGCATATATTAAGGCCAGAGCACACACAAACCTTTTCTCCAGCTACTGCTCCACCTTCTCACAGAATCACAGAATGGTTTAGGTTGGAAGGGACCTCTGGAGATCATCTAGTCCAACCTCCCTGCTCAAGCAGGGACCTCTACAGCATATTGCCCAGGACCACATCCAGGCGGGTTCTGAATATCTCCAGCGAAGGAGACTCCACCACCTCTCTGGGCAACCTGTTCCAACGCTCTGTCACCCTCACAGGAAAGAAGTTTTTTCTCAGGTTCAGATGGAACTTCCTGTGCTTCAGTTTCTGCCCATTGCCTCTCGTCCTGATGCTGGGCACCACGGAGGAGAGTCTGGCCTCATCCTCTTGACACTCCCCCTTCAGATACTTGGCCATGTTGATGAGATCCCCTCTCAGTCTTCTCTTCTCCAGGCTCAACAGGCCCAGCTCTCGCAGCCTTTCTTCAGAGGAGAGATGCTCCAGTCCCCTCATCATCTTTG